TTGACACCTTCAGGTGTTCGAATTATTAATCCAGAAACTTCACATTTTTCAAGTGAAGTTAACTCTGTTTGAATTGCATCCTTCCATTTTGGTCAATCATTTCTCTGTCTACATTTATCGACAAATTTTCGTTCATGATCCTCATCTTGTTGCATTATTTCAGTAGCAACATTTTAAGCGAAAATGTTATCAAACATAACATCATTTCGATTCCACATTTTTCCTGTCAAGACATAACTTATTGAGATCTTTTCATTTTCATTATTTTCAGATATGTCAACATTTGTAGTTGTCTCATCATTTGTTATGTCTTGAGGCTCTCCTTGAGCACTCACTTTTATATTATGATCATTTTCTTTTTCGAGAATTTTTATCCTTAGAACCAATTGGTCTATCACGTTTCAGATGTGGTTTGGACTCATTTGCATTAACAGTTTGTTCTATCAGAGTATCAATTCGAACTGGAGCATTTGCAGCTGGAACATGAGATTTAGTAACCCTTGAAAGGTTAGTAAATGCATTTGACAGTTGATTTGCAATATTTTGCAAATAAATTATCTTTTGAACCTCTTGTTCACATTGATTTGTTCGAGGATCTAACTGAGATAGTGATATTGCATTCCAATCTATCTCATTTTTCAATTGCTTATGTTTCTCCCCTAATGTTGGGTATTCAGATTCATCAAAATGACAATCAGCAAATATTTCTGTAAATAAATCTTCAGTCATAGGTTCCAAATATTTTATAATAGAATGAGATTCATACCTAACATATAATTTCAACCTTCTTTGGGGATCTATCTTTGTGCGTTACGGTGGAGAAATTGAAACATATACCGCACATCCAAAAAATTTAAGATGAGAAATATTTGGCTCATTTCCAAAAGCCAACTGTAATGGGGTGAAATCACGAAAATTGATTGGCCTTATATGCACAAGTGCTGCTACATGCAAAATAGCATGCCCCATACTGAAAGAGGAAGTTTTGTCCTCATTAGTAATGATCTAGTTATCATCTGAAGACGTTTAATCAATGATTCTGTTAGACCATTTTAAGTATGAACATGAGCAACCGAATGTTCAACTGTTATTCCAATGGATATACAATAATCATTAAAGGATTGAGATGTAAATTTACCAACATTATCAAGATGAATTGTCTTTATAATATAATCTTGAAATTATGCTCTCAACCTTATAATTTGAGCCAACAATCTTGCAAAAATCATGTTGTAAGTTGATAATAAGCACACATGTGACCATCTTGTAGATGCATCTATTAAGACCATAAAATATTTAAATGGTCCTCATGAAGGGTGAATTGGTCCACATATATCACCATATATACGTTCCAGAAATGTAGGGAATTCAATCCCAACCATAGTTGTTGATGGTTTAATAATCAGTTTCCATTGGAAACAAGCAACACAAGAGATTTCTTTAGATTGATTTTTTTTTATTCTTCAAAGTGTGCCCATGTGAATTTTCAATAATTTTGTGCATCATATTATAATCGGGATGGCCCAATCGGTCATGCCAAATGATGAAATCATTCTGATTAATAAACCTTTTATTCATCATGACATGTGATGCAACCACATCAATACTTGTGTGGTACAACCTAGAAGAAGGTGCAAATAATTTTTCATGCACAAATCTTTTTCCTTCTTTTATTGTTGTAATATAAATGTAACATCTCGCAATTTGAAATAACTAGGAAGAAGCTTATAATTGGAAATAGTCATTTTTGGAAAGACTTAAAATCTGGAAATTTGTTTGAGTTAGGAAAAGTTGAGTTTTGGTCAACTTCAAACGACAATAATTCCTAGATCAGGATGAGTTAGGTGTACTTCCAGATATGGTTGCAAATCTCTTGGAAGGGTCTTTCCAACGCCGCCGAGTTTGCACAAATCCGAGTTCATATGAGTGAGTTATGCCCTTTAGAAGTTGGGATGTTGGAATAAGGAAAGTCCAATCCGGATTTTTAAAGGGTAGTTTGGTCTTTTCCTTAACCTCTTATTTAATTCGTTTTTGGGTAATTAATTAGGGGTCTAAGCTGAATTAGATCGGTTTACACTTTTACCAAAAGAGTTAAGGTTTGGAGAGAAAAGAAAAGAAAAGGAGAAAGGAGAAGAGGAAACAAGAACGTTCAAGATTCGTCGATTTCTTGGAGCTTTGCTTGTGGATTTCGTCAGGGGGGATCCCTACAAGGTATGCGAGATCACATAGCGTTGGGTTAGTTCACCCACGCGCCAACCATGTTTAATTCAACATATTTTCTTCCTAAAAAGATTGAGAATTTAATGTTCTTAATAGTTGTTCTTGAATTGATTTCGTTCTTGAACATGAGTTGGGATGAAGAAGTTTCTTGATGATTAAGTGTTGTATCTTTAAGTTTTTGGGTTAGATTTTGTGTATATGATTTGGGTACAGGAATCTAAAGTGAATTTGAGAAAAAGAATCGAATTAAAATGATTTAGGATCAGAAAACGAGATCAATAGCTTGTTAGAATTTTGCCTAAAGGGAGGCTGGCGCGACGCTCCCCCATAGCGCTAGGCAGGCTGGGGAGGTGTGCCAGCAGTGCGTTAAATTTGAGCCCCAGTAAGTTGGGGCTGGCGTAGCGTGTCTGGGTTGCGCTTAAATCGTCATTTTTCACCAGTTTTCGTCGTTTAGCCTATTTAAGTCCTTCTAAAGTGTATTAACACTTCCTACTGATTCTAACTACCTTAAATGACTTCTAAACATCTAGAAATCATCCAAAAACATGAATCATAACCTTGAATCAATAAATTCAAATTCAAGGAAAGTTAAAGAGCCAAGTTTAGGAAGTTCTTCGAGTCTTTTCAAGAAGTCTTTTGCAAATGTTTTTAACTTTGTTTTAAGACTTACAGTTCAAGTTGAGTAAAGAGTAAAGATTGAAGTTCATTTCTTCAAAAGTATATGGGGACTAAGTATTCCCAAAGAGATTTAAAGTATTTTCACATTTAAATAAGAACAGAAATTGAGATTTTCAAAGAGCCTTCGGGCTAGTTTTCAGAAAAGAGAAATAGCTTTCTAAATGAAGCAAGCAGGGAAACTGAGATTTCTGAGATAGCCTTTGAGCTAAGTTTTTGAGCACTAATCTCAAATTATAGAAGAAGTATGTTTTTAAACATAAAGAACTAAGTATTTTTAGGAGTAGTATTGAGCACCGATATGGGGATACGAGTTCATATTAACTCAAGTCTCCATAAACCATGTAGCTATCATGGGTAGAAAAGGGTCATACTTTTTAGATGAATCCTTTTCGCATAGACTAGTGGATCCACTTAGTGAGTTAGCTTCCTATATCACGGCAAGGTATAGGATGGGCCTCAGCAACGTGAGGTAAAGCGTTGTATCATCACTATAGTTCCTAAGTGATGGTTGTCGGTTAGAGAAACTCCCACAACAGTAGTAGCATAGTTCCTCGAGGGGTTCTGCTTAGTGTGAATGGGGGTATGGGACTTCATTCATGCATTGCACAAGTAGACTTTGAGAGGGAGCATGGTTTGTCATTTTATGATATTATGATTATGAATTGACAGCATGTTTTCAACAGTTTTTCTTTATATTGCACTTGTTTTAAACTGCTTTATAATGAAATGAGTTTATTTAAGTATTCAAGAGTTGAGAAGAGCCAAGGTAAGTGTTTCTTTGATAATCTCTTTCGAGCCTATATTGTTTTAGCATTCCAACTCGCATACTCGTACATTCAATGTACTGATGCCAATTGGCCTGCATCATCTTATGATACAGACATAGGTAACTAGGATCGGCATCCGGCGCATTCGTTGATCCAGTGAGCAGTTCAGAGTCTGTTGGTGAGCCTCTTTGCATTCTAGAGGACTCCTTCACATTACTTTCAGTTTTAGTATTAGTTCATTAGGATGTCGCGGGCCTGTACCGACATCCATTTTAGTTGTTTAGAGGCTTCATAGATAGTCAGACAGTCAGTTAGTGAATTCAATTGTCTTTACTTTTCATTTCATATGTTAAGACTTGAGTTGCCATTTTGGCCAAGTTGAATGTTGACTATTAAACATTCTAAGTTATTTCATTAGTTAAGTTGAGTAGTGTGTTGTTGATCTTTATAAATATGCATATAGTTTTCCGCTGAGTTAATAAGTCAAGCCAACGGTTCGCTTGAGGTTAGCAATGGTCTTCGAGTGCCAGTCCCACCCAGGGTGTAGGCTCAGGGCGTGACAATAAAGGTATTCAACATTTCCTTCATTAGCAGTCTCAATATGATAGCCATTTTGGCGAATAACCTTGAAACTTAACATGTTTTTTTGAGACTTGCTACAATACAAAGCATTATTAATTGGCAATATTGTTTTCCCAGGTAATAATAATAATGCTCTACTAGAGCCCACAATTATTTTTGTACTATCGGATATTGTATTAACATTGACCCCTTTCATAATTAAATGAGAGAAATATTTATTTTCTCTTAATATAGTAAGAGTTGTAGCACTACCCAGAAGACAGATATCTCCATTACTCATCTTGGATCCAATTGAAGATTGAGAAATTTTATTTATCTTCATTAAATAAAAGTACATCATAAGAGATAAGATAACTAGCAACATTGCAAGAAAACTTAGGTCTTTATATTATTTTATTTTTAAAATTTTTAAATAAGAGTAACATAAAAAATTGATAATCAAAAGTACAAAAAAACAACAACATATTGTACATCATAAAATAACATCAAACATCAGATACGATCTCCAAAGAAGTCTTCAACCTCTAAATGAGTAATATCATTGAGGTCATTAAAATCATCATTCTTCAAAGTCAAATTCGCTTCAATATTATCATTGTACATTTGCGAAGGTCTTTCCTCAACATTATTTTCAAATGTCAAGTGTGATTATATCCGAGTATTAGAAGAAGATGTACCATCTCTATTTGCCTTTCTTTTAAAGGAATTTTGATAAAGTCTGACAAAATGTCCAGGCTTCCGACATTCATTCTTTCAATGGTCTTTCATGTCACAACGATGACAGTTGCCTCTTAAAGGATTACTTTGAGAACTCATATTGTTCTCTCTTTTATAATGACCACTACCACGATGATTATTATATCGTTTCCTGCCATTGTCACGTTCACGCACATTATTATGACCCCGATTTTTATTTTGTCTTCTTTCAGACTGGCCATGTGCTTCTACCACATTTGCTTCTGATAATGGAGCAGTTTCAGTGGGATGGACTTCATGATTTTTCAACAAAAGGGTATTATGTTGCTCAGCTAGAAGAAGGCATGAGAACAAATTAGAGTACTTTTTAAATCCCCTTTCACGGTATTTTTGTTGTAACACCAGATTTGAGGCATGAAAAGTAGTAAGAGTCTTTTCCAACACATCCTCATCTTTTATATTTTCCTTACATAATTTTAATTGGGAAGTTATTTTATAAACATCAGAATTATATTCACATACAGTTTTAAAGTCTTGTAATTGTAAGTGTATCCATTCATAACGACCCCTTGGCAATACTGTTGTCTTAAGGTGGTCATACTTTTCCTTTAAATCAGTCCACAATTCAAGTGGATCTTTCATTGTCAAATATTCGGCCTTTAATCCTTCATCCAAATGATGATGAAGAAAAATCATAGTCTTCGCTTTGTCCTGACTCGATGCTGCATTACCCTCAGTAATGGTGGTACCAAGACCTTTCACATCTAGGTGAATTTCAACATCGAGTACCCATGACAAATATTTTTTGCCAGAAATATCAAGTGCCACGAACTCCAATTTTGACAAATTTGACATGATGAAAACTATCATAAAAATAGTCAAACTAGATTAAAATAATAAACTTTTAACCATTGAAAATTAAGAATATCATATGTAGTATTCTTTAATAAGAAATTTTATTTTAATTAATTAATAAAATTCACTATCATCTTATATTATTTAGAGAACATAAAAACTGAAAATATTCTGATGTATACTTGTGTTTAGATTATGAAAATAAAAATAGTTATATCACTGAAACATATCTTATAAGAGACTTCGTGATGATAACGTGTTATAAAATAATGTATTAGAAACTAAATAACAAAGAAATGGAGAGAAAGAGCAGTAATGTTTTTCTTCCAATCTTTCAATGCATTTATGTCTACATACAAGATGAGTAAATATAGAAAGTAGAAGTATATCTCAAATCGCCGAGAGGGAGTTGCTCGGATGGTAAGCACCTCTCACTTTCAACCCAAAAGTTGCGAGTTCAAGTCACCATGGGAGCAAAAGAGGTGACAGCTCCTAGGGAGGGATAAAAAAAAAAGAAGTATATCTCAAATCCTTCAAAGTCATGAAGGAGATCTCCAAAGTCATGAAGTGTGAATTTGCTGCATGGCATCCACATTTCATTATTTACAACAATAATATAAAATTAATATCTTTAGAAAATATAGTGAATAAAGCTATTTAAAATTATATCAATTAATAAGAGTAAAATAACAAATTCACTATAATAATCAATACTTTATTGATAGGTGTGCTAACAAATAAAAAGGACTAAAAGAATAGTATTAGTTGCTACCAAAATATCAATTAAAATAAGAAAATGCTTCCACTAATAATTTTAAATATAGAGTTTTGGTTTCGTATTCTGATTTATATCAATTTTCCTAACGTGTCAAGTATATCTATTTGTGCACGTAGCTCTATGTTAGATGCTCATACTTATCTGATTTCGTACCTTATCAATATCATATAATTATAATTATAATTATCAAATTATCCAATTTGATGATTTATTCCTTATTAATTTTATCAAAATCAAAAATAAATCTCTCGTCAATATCAACTCATTTCTCTGAGGTGTTCATGATTTCGATAAAAATTGAATTAAATTAATAAAATAAATCGATTTTATTTGGATTTGGTTTTAGATTTTAAAAAACCGATAGTATTTGGTTTGGTTATGATTTTGTTCGAAAAAGCCGAAGAAATAACCGAATCGAACCGATAAATTATATACATATATTTTATTATTATACATACTTAATATATTGTTTTTTATAAACAATTTTAAAGATATTATATATGTTTTCATAAAAAAAATCTTTGTAATTTACTTATTGAAAGCAAAAATGTCCGAGAACATTTATCTTATTGATTTCATGTATATGTGTGTCTATGACAATTCTTTGTGAGACTGAAAATGTTATTGTCTTTTCCTTCTAGATCAAAATAGTAAATTTTAAAGCTTTATTCATAGTAAATTTAGTGATAGAAAGTTCAATATTGTCACTCATTCTAATTATTTTTGGCTTTGAATAAATTGTTTCTTTTATTTTTGTGTATGGTTAATAACCGAACCAAACCAAACCGTAATCGATAACAACCAAATCGATAAATGTATATTATATTTGATATGGTTTGATTTTGATATTTTTAAAACCAATTAAGTTAGTTTGATTTTGATTTTGACTAATAACCAATCCAAATCGACCCGTGAACACCCCTCTACGGCTGTGAGAATGCTTCTTGGTAGCTCTATGGCTGCAGTCTGATGCCACGATAACAATATGATAAACAAGTAAAAAAATATTAACAGAATTCCAGATTAAAAGCACCACAAAATTTACAATTTTTACATTTACTTTTCCTTCCCTGGACAAAAAATCAAACTTCTTGTCTCTGCTGGGACATCCCATATGTTCAAGCCTCTCCGACATCACATCTCAATGGAACAAGAAACAGCTGCACTTTCAAATATCTTTTAAGTGAAACTGAAGCCAGGGTTGTGGTGGAGTGGTAACTCCATCATGACCGGTCTCAGGTTCGAGCCATTTTGGATATGGAGTCGCCTTTGTTAGGAAACACTTTACCCCTCCCAATGTGGGACTTTTCGGCGCGAATCCAAATTTAGTCAGGCTCCGATGTGGATACCTGACGGCTGACACAGGGTGGGAAACCAAAAAAAAAGAAGCCAGCTTTTTCAACGATCTTTGACACATACAGAACTTGAAGTAACCAGCTCTAAGTTATTTGCAGTGTTTCAAAAGACGCGAATTAGGCAAGACGTTTTATGCCGTACGGGAGTATATTAACTAAAAAAAGAAGTTACTTGTATCATGTCCAAAATTACAAGTGTTAGACTACAGGAATCAAATAATCTCGAGCGACTGACTACACATGGATCAACTTCTTGAAACAATATGTGCCAAGGAGAAACCAACCGATAAGAACAAACATGAAAATCAACAGGTAAGTAAGGAAAGTCCCTCCTCCAAAGATTAGTCCAAATCCAAGCACAACGAGAGGCGGTAAATAGGTTTTAACCATAGCTGTTTTATTTACCCAACGTCCCTTGAGATAAATGAAAATAGCCAGGTTGACTACATTCCATCCACCAGCCTGAAACCCCAGCCTGTTCAAACCATTAGCTACAAAAGAGTGGCAGTTGCAAGTGAAAATGCTGTAAGATTGGTGTTGGAATTCTTGAATGCTCTTTCTTATGGCAGATTCCCATGTGTCAACATCGCTTCCAGATTCATCATGGTTCTTGACATATTCACCCGTAGGTTCAGCTGAATAAGGGGAAAGGCAGCAGCACTGTCGGCCATAAAAGCGATGAAAACAAAGTAAAGATGCATTAGGATTTAGGACCAACCAACCAAATAGCAAAATCAATGAATCCTACTCAATCACATAATAAAAGTTACTACATCTGCTTGGATGGAAAATCTGCAGGAAGAACCAAGAGCAAGGGCACAACAAGCCAGTGACAGCTTGATTAGAGTAAGCAAGTCCTTAACAGAAACAAACCCAGTTAGAACTAGGGATGCCAATGGGGCGGGGCGGTTGCAAAGCGGGGCGGGTTATAGTGTTTGCGGGGCAGTGCAGGTTAATGTTTTTGCGGGGGCGGAGCGGATACAAAATACTTTTTTAGGAAAACATGTGGGGCAGGGCGGGTATGGGTAGGGTTTATTTTTCTTTTGAAGTTCAACTAAATTGGGTGAATAGCAGATGCAAATCAGTGGACAGTTGACACTGAATTTCTAAGCTTATTATGCCTATCTTTTGTCTCTAGTATTTATACAATATTTTATCAAGTAAAATGATGCATCACTTGTGATGAATTCTGATTCTAATTAATTTGTGTACTGACTAGGCTATATATTTTATTATTTACCTTCATAATCATGGTGTTAGAAAGTAATGTAGCAGATTCTTAAATGAGAAACTAAAGTGTATGAAAAACTTAATAAATTACAGCATTGTTTTACTTAAGTTAAGTGTCAAAATTAAGCACATGTACTGTTATGTTGAAGTTTTGCAGGGTGGGTATATGCGGAGCGGGTATATGCAGGGCGGGGAAAAATAAAAAATTATGCTATGTGGGGCGGAGCGGGGCAGAGAAAAGTCATTGCGGGTTTGCCCCCCACCCGCACCATTGCCATCCCTAGTTAGAACCAGCAGACATACCTGCTCTGTGCTTACTTGGAAATAGCGAGTTGGTGCGCCAAATGTAAAATTGTCAACAGAAACAAAGTTTGGCCCTGCAAAGTCCAAGATCACGCCATCCTCCCTGCAAATCCCTATATGCCCAATAAAGGGGATAAACCAAGACAAGACAGGAAGTGGTGACCATACAATGCAGCACGGAAAGCGGTCTCTTTTTGGATCAATTAGCATTGGATTCGGATAATTTTCTTCAATCATCAGAGCATGTTCTGGATCTACTTCAGGAACCATGACCAGAGCATAAATAACTAGCATAAGAACAAAACATCCAAAACTATTATGATTCATATACGATTGCATTAATGTATGTCCAGTTTCAACTTATGGTCTACATTATCCAAAAACAAATCTCTCACAGAAAAAATCAGTTTCCCTCTCAAAAACAAATCAACACTGGCTCAAGCCAGAAAAGACAAACAGCTTCAACATTTCATCAGCTTAATAAATACATTTCCCCACATTCCCAGCAACAAAAGATGTAAATTGCTCAAAGAGTTGCCTATGTTCATGGAAGTCTTCAGCTAATTATCTCAAATAAGTCAAAACAGCCTGCAAGGCATCACTAGCACTAGACTGAAGCACCAAATGAGTTCCCAATTCAGTTATTCCATGGTACCCTCTTTTTGATCTAGCAAAGGTAAAAATGTAATACTGGTCTAGCTGGAACCTGATAAGAGAATGTGCACTAAGGGACTTACAGGGGCGGAGCTCTATAGAGCCAAGGGGGTTCAACTGAATCCTCTTTGTGGGAAAACTATACTGTGCAAATAGGGGAAAAACATTTTTTTGGGGGAATTATATAAATCTCCTTGACATAAGGCCTCAAACAGGGCCATCTCAATGTCGGAATGATAATTGTTGTTGTATGCAAACTCCGTCAAAGGCAAAAATTGGTCCCAACGAGGCAACGACTACCAAAATCAATAACACATGCCCTCAACATATCCTCCAGAACCTGAATAGTCTGCTTAGTTATAATTCATATTAGAGGGTGGATTAGTCTTTATTGAAAGCTTCTTCTTTGTTCCTATAGCCATGAGAGCTTATGTATTTGACACTGTTTATGGCTTTATGCTACTTCTTATGTTGTTATGTATGTGTCTTTAAATTGTGCAATATAATTGAATACCTCTCTTGCCTTCCTATATACAGTAAGCTGCTAATATTTTTTAATTCTATGTTTGGCTTTATTTCTTTACTCATCTTGCTCTTTTTCTCTCATCTGGAAAGTTTAAGTTTCAATGTTCAATGGTCTTCTCGGTTGGCATTACACAGTTCAGGTTAGCTAGTTTTGGTTCTTGGATATGGAGACATGGGGTAGGAAGTTGGTTAACAGTGACAAGAGCATAACATCATACTTGAGAATAAGGAGCTGTAAAAAATGACATACACAGTAGGAAAATCTGGGGAACATCAAGAAGCATCTGAAAGAAGGAGCAGGCCCACTAGAGATCATTCTCAAGTTCCAGTGAACAAGGGAAGGAGGATCTGGTGTTTAGCTAACACGGTTTCTTTTTTTGCAGGAATTATAACCAAGGTATATTCACTATCAATGTATGGTAATCTGCATCCTTGGATGCTCATTTTGTTGTATGGAAAGAAAGTAAAATATACACTTTAGAAAGGAGAGGAAAATAGACACCGCAGGAACTTATGGTGCTTCGGTCATACAAGGAAATCATGCTGGTGAAACGTATAACAGCAGAACCTCATCAACAACACAGAACAGCAAGTACAATTACTCAGAACCATAAATGCACAGATGGATATACAAGTATAAATGTATAATCCATAGGACAATAGCTACTACCCAAAGACACTATGGAAAGTACTTGTCACACAGAAGAAATATATCAGTAAAAGGCAAGGCAAACATCAACAACAAACAGAAATCCATTTCGCAGGCAAGCAACACGATATCATTGAGCACTTAACAAGGAATAGTAGAAACAAAATGGAAGAGATATTGAAACAGTATATACCAAGAGACACAAACAGGAAGAGATAGTTAACCCAACAGAACCTACACAAACAAAGCCCAATTTGGGGCTTATATAGTTAAGGTTGGAGAAATTACTGTCTACTCTCTTCTCCACCTACTCTACATACTCTTTCTCCAGCCGTCCAGCACAATCGAGTCTCTCTCACTGGAGCTCTTATCCCCTCCCCTCCATTAAATAAATTTGGCATCACGAAAGGATTTTAGTTCTGATTTGGCTGATATTAAGTTTGTGGAAACTGGCAACGGTTACAATTCTAAGAATTCTTATTAAAAGGTTCACTGTTTGCTCGAATTCGCCTTGAAGATCTTCTTCTTCGAGTACATTCCCCTAAACTGCAATTTGAGTTTAGTTGTTAAATCTTATAGAACTCAAATGGTTGGATCATTAATTTCTCAATATACGCCTATTTTGGGTATGAAGATACATAAAGTTAGCATCTCTATAGAAATTGGATTTTCATAGTTTTGCATTGAACAAGAGTTAGCTTTTGACTTCATTTGATTTTGAAAGGAAAAATTAAGTTAAATCCCTTAACCCTAAAACACATGAACTCAATCTCAATTTGCTGAAAAAAAAATAACTTCTAAATCGAAGAAGAAAGATCATCATTCATCACACAGCTATGAAGTAGTTTTGGCGAAAAATTGAAGAAGAAGAAGCTGACCTGCAAATTGGAAGAGAAGCCGAGAAATACAAAATGAAGCTGAAAAGAGAAAAAGTAATTGGAGGAGGAACTACTACCGTGGGCTAATAAAACTGTGCCTTGGCACAACATGCAACAGATACTTGCAATGACTGAAACACCCTTTTAAAATGATTTTTAATGACACTTACTGTTGGTTTTCATGTCTTAATTACTTCTATGTCCCTCGCACGTTTCTTCAATTTGTGTGTATTACTTTTTCTTATAAATATATTTAAAAATTAATAGTTGTTCTCGTTTTTTGATTATTTTTTAGTTTTGTACTTTTCACCTGATATGTTTAAGAAATAAGACCACAAAGATTTCGGACATTTTAATACATTTTTTTATATATTTTTAATTTAAAATTATAAAAATTTCACTATGCCAAATCAAAATAAGCTTAAAATGTAATGTTTTAAACTTTAGTACTGATAATATTTATTGATTATTTACTTTTAGGAAGGTAATTTATGTATTTAATAAGAAAAAGTCAATTGTTTGAAGGTTAAATGTATAACTGATTTGTATCTCATGATAATTTTTAACACTATTGCATTGCTCATACTTGTAAGAATATACTAGATATTTTATTTTTTTAATGAAGTTTCTATACTTTTTGTGTCATCATAATACTTTGTTGAACTATAATTAAAAAATTAAAGATCCAATATGACTTACATCTTATGTTTTAATGCTTATGCAAGTCTATACTAAGTAGACGTTTGGTCATGCGATATCATATCACGATATGGTATCGTGAGATGGAAATGCGTTTGGACATGCGATTTTACGTTGATTTAAACTCATGATTTCATATCATGAGATGTGATTCGATATTCTCCAAAAACCATGATATGGAATTATATGGGAATTTCATATCATGATTTGAGATATTTTAATACAAAAATTAATCCACAAGTTTATATTTTGTTAAAACAATCCCACATTTATATCTACTAACCATTTATTTCATATGTAAATAAAATTTATAATCACATCATTACTTTTTAAAATTTATTATTCTCACCGACATAAAATTTATTATTCTCACCAACATATAGTCACTTTAACTCACACCAGCCGATTGTTAAAGTGATGAAATATTTATGGTCTATAAGCATGAAAATATAGTTGCGGATGATATTGACCAACAAATGGCTCAAAGTAACAATGTTGGTTCATCTTCTCGATCACATGATCGAGAAATGCAAGTTCAATGTGAGGAAATTGTATGTACTATGTGGGAGGATTATATTAAAGACTAGTACACAACAATTTATGTTCAATTTTTTTTATTAACTTAAAGTTAGATGAAACAATTATTTAAGTGGAGAACAAATAACTTTGTAATAATTTATTATGTGATTTTATAAATTTTTGTTTATTTGATAAGATTGAATAAACAATTGGACTATTTTAATAATTTTACAACTTATGGGATTTTTATGTTTATGAGAAAATATACAACACAAAAATTTCATATCTCATGTCCAAACAAAACTTCAATTTCATCTCATAATACCATATCATATGGCCAAACGGGCCCTAAATAAAATGTCTCGGTTTCTATCTCTGCCTTTTAAACTATTAATTTGAATCTTAAAAAATGGAAGTATCAATAAATTAAGACGTAAAAAATACATATATATTGAACATAGTCAAACCACAAGAGAGAAAAATGAATTGATTGAAAATGAAAAAGGAAGAAAAAGAAAAGTAATATAGAGATGAGGCAAGAACTAAGAAGGCCTAAAAAGTCACATGACAGTTCTTCCTAGATTGAAGATTCAAAAACTACAAAGCACGTGTACTCACATCACTGCACGGTCGAAGCTATCTTTGTTCGAGGGGTATCGACTGATATTCAATTCATCAAAAAGTTATATTATATATAGGTTAAATTTTAATCTTTTATATATATACAGTAAAATTTCTCTAAATTAATATAGGCGGGATCATAAAATATTATTATTTAATCGATAAATTAATATTTATTAATTTAAAAAGTGTTTCGAGACTGAAAAAAATGTCCAGGGATGAAATCTCAAAGAATTTGAAAGAACCCACTTGTGAAAAACTTCATTCATGAACTTGAGGTCATGATTAATGATTTCGGTTACCGCAATAAAATGGACGTTAATAACATATTTGATGGGTGAAAATGATACAGGTTCAAAGGTCCAAAGCTTAGAACAAATTGTGGATATCATTGGAAAAACAATGTTGATGATAAAGTTGAAGATGATACAATACTTTTGGAACCAGTTACGCGTAAGGAAACACTTGCATCTTGTCACGACCTAGACCGTCGCGAGTGGCACCCACACTAACCCCTCATGTGGGAGAATCATTACTACAACCTCAAACTACAAATCAACCAAAATACTAAGACATTTAAAGATACGGAAACGGGTTTAAATGTTAAGGAAAAGAAATATGGAGTTCCCATAAACCCCAAATAAAAGTCTAACAACCAAACAAACTAACATTGCGGAAAATAATACCTAGAACCTGAAAGTCAATGTAACAAAACATCTAAAGTTCAACAAGTCTAAGAAAATGGATGCAACCCCCAAACTAAACATAAGAAATCTAAAGAATTAGATGGTTCTTGCCCATGCTAAGCACGGGCCCAACAATTTTAAATTCTGATACAATTTTATTGTGTTTGATCTACCTAGGAAATATGTTCAAGACCTAACGTAGCAATAAACACTTTTAAATAACCATAGTTTCAAAAACACAACATGCATTATCTAGTAACAGATTATATTTCTTAACTTGCACAATAAAAATAAAAGAATCTAAGTCAAATACGAAACAAGCGTGTGGTGTCATTTTTCTTTCAAGGTTCAACAATTAATTCAACAGTATGTTGATCAAACATTCACAATTTAATATCCGCGCTCAAGGCTTATCGAACATATAATGAGCAATCAAATATCATTGCATAGATATTAAAATTGCACTTCAAAAAATCTACTTGTAAAGCACATTTAGTCGCTATTCTTTATGTACTGATAATTTATTTTATATATGCTACATAATCGCGAATTAATACATCATCAAGTAACTAATACTACTACAAAAATGACTTTTGTTACCATCTCAATCAAAATTCAAAAAATATTGGAACAAATAATGGAGTGTGGTTGTACTCCACAAGATGTGATTAACTTTTGGAGCAGTAGAACTCTCCAAACATACCTTGAACGACCACTTCCATCTTCCCTCTCCAAATAACCCTTGCAAACCACTTACATCTTCCCTTGCTCAAGCTCATCACAGAAGACCTTACTTTCTTTCTCATTATCAAAATGATTGGAAAATACCATGTATTGAGCTTTTTCTCTCAAAGATCGAAGTGAAGGTCATAAAATATTAATACGACATAACAAACTTCACAACATCAACTCCAATGAAAATACAAATAAGTCGGACCTTCAACTTTATATTTTTTGCATAATTGGGTAATGTGAAATGATAGCAGTAAAATAAACATGTGCATAACACTTCTTTTCAATTTTAAGACAACAAACATGTACATTATAAACATCTTCATTCCAGACATATGCAGCTAGCGTCAGATTACTCCACTCATGCTAGATAATCAATCCGCTTGCGAAGGAAATTATATATAAAATTGTGCATGCAGATTAGGCCCTTACCCATTACCTGGTACAAAATATCAATGTTTCACAACAAAGAGTAAGTAATATGTAGCTTTCTAATGCAAATATACGTTGATATCAAATGATATTTTGGTAATGAATGAGAAGCTAAATGCAAGTGCAGATAGAGAGCCAATTAAACACATCTATTATCTATGAACAAATTACATCAGGTAGCTTTTCTGCTTTATTTTCTCCTTTGTCTTGGAGAGGCAGATATACGTATGAGGAATTTTCGACGAAATTCTAAATAATACATACCTTGAGTGTGATTGCATTAGCATGAAGAATTTTATAAATATACTCCCAGCAACAAACTTCAATTTTTTAGTTACCTTTCGATCACCTATGACATGAGGGAGATCAAGCATGCACAATGCATTACAAGCTCAGAAAAGCTTCAACAACAACCATCACCACGGCGTTGCTGCCACCTCCAATGTCCACCAATGACGTCAAACCCTCAAAGATACCTGCAAAACAATAAGACATCAACAAATTGGAGATCAATCTCGAATCGCCAGCCATTGCACCATTGAAGACACTATTGAATTCTAGATCTTCATCAGTATCTTTTTTGGTGAATATTTTATATATCCTATATCTTCTCAAAATTATCAAGAACAACAACTTATAAGATTACAACCAATCCGTTGTGATTTTCTTAAAAATAGACATTAAGAATATTCCGCTTCTCCTAAGCAATAAAAAATAAGACAAAACATGATCTAATTGAATCTCTTCTTTAAGAAAATATGAACTCTCTCTTTCAAATGAGGACATATCAAATACACAAGAATAAAGAGAGCTTTTGTTTACAACCAACAAGTGTTATTAGTCTTAAATTATAAGCAAAGTGAATACTTGAAACATGTGATATGACATGGACAGAAAATGAATGCAAACACACATATTATATACTTGTCACTAAATACTTCCATTGCCTTTTCCTATACTCCAGTAATAGTCCTCTAGTTTTCCGCGCAATGTAAGTCGAATCTATGGATGAATATTTTACATTAGGGGCTTTAAATCTCAATGATCAGAGCATATATCATTATGGGCAGAATTAAATATACCAAGTGGAAAGAAAACAACAAAATGTTATTTATATTTAAAAAGTAAATAAATTAAGTTGTAAGAAAATATAGATATCTAGTGAGCTTAGAGCAATGAGAAAAAAAACAATGCATACATAGGAAAAATAGTTTTTCACTCAAATTGAAAATTTTAAATTTAGCGAATATGCTTAGTGGGAAAACATCTATGGATAAACTATTCGAGAACATTCACCAAAGGAGAGAGCCTATCACTCTTAAAAGAAGTACTAAACTTTCATTCAAATCTGGAGTACAAGTCACTT